GTAGAGCGCTTGCCTTGCATGCCTGAGGCCCTGGGTTCATTCCTCAGCACCACATAAGCAAAAAGAAAAAAGCTGGAAGTGGCGCTGTGGCTCAAGTGGTAGTGCGCTAGCCTTGAGCTGAAGAGCTGAGGGACAGCGCCCAGGCCCTGAGTTCAAGCCCCAGGACCGCACCCCAAAACAAAACAAAACAAAACAAAAAACACCTCAATAGTCATTTTAAAGGTGGTCAAATAAGGAATTCTGAAGCAAACTTTTTTTCAAAAAAACACAGGTAGTAAATAAGAAAAAAGTAAGTAAAGGACATATCCAGTTATAACATCCAAATAGGAAAACATCTACAAAGAGAAAATAAAAGGGATAAAACTCAAGAAAATTTTTAAGAAAATTTTCCCAAATTAAACAAAACAACTTGAATTTCTGGGAAAATGGAAACTTACCAAGTATACAAGGCAAAATGCTCATGCCAGTATACAGTACAATTAAATATTAGGGTATTGAGAGCAAAGAGAAAATTCTAAAATATTCAGAAAGACAGAATGTTCAGAAAGACAGAATGTTCAGAAAGTCCAGAATACAAATCAGTTCAAAGGGAGTAACACCAATATCAGAGTATAGAAGAAAATGTAGTGCTGTCAAATTTCAGAAAGAAAAATACAAAGATTTCCAACCCCAAATTCTATAATTATGTGTCAAAGTTAAAATGCAGAAATTTTCAGTTATGAAAGTTCTCAAAATTTAGCTTTCATTCATTCTTTCATAGAAAGCTCCTGAAAGGTGTGTTCTACCAAAACAAGGGCATACATCAAGAAAAAGGTCTAGCTAAAGAGAGAGGTGACTAAAGTCCCAATAAAACACTGAAGAAAAAAAATGAGAGTAACAGTATGCCCAGAAAATAACTGAGCTGAAGCAGCCCAGAGGCTTAAAATAGAGAATTAGAAGATGAGTTCACTGTAAGTCCATGGGAACCTAAGGGAACAAAAGAAAGGGTTTTGTTTTTGTTTTCTTCAACAAAAAAAGCAGGGCAAAAAGCAACCATCACCACAGTAGCCTGTTTGACTCAATTAAGGTTCTTGTAGAAGGTAATAATAATACTGATACTGAATGCTGAACTAACCAAAAATTTTGATATCGTCCTATTAGAAGACTAAATAGAAGAAGTTGTATGTGTGCAGTTAACACATAGTAGAAGAGAATTACAATAATTTCCACTGGGATACCAAGAGATTAGACTTAAAATTATAAAGTGCAAAGTAGCATGTAATTTACAGAAATAAAGGAAAACAGCTTTGGGACATCTCTGAGGGTTGGAAATGATTGCTTTTGGAAAGTCAGAAATGGGTAGTAGAAAGCATGAAACTTCCCCTGGTACTAATGTAATTTTCTGACTTTTCAACTTTACAGTTACATAATTAATTTCAGTAAAAATAAAGTGTAATTTTTTTCAAGGAGGTTTCTCTGGCTGTTTTTACATGACCTAGCAATGGATACCATTTTCAACATACAGATTACATCTTGTTTTTGTCGTTTTCCATCTACTCCAAGGGGCCCATGATTCTTACATTGAAGCCAATAGAGCTGCTTTTCCTGTGTCCTGTGTTAGTTATATTAAATCATAATTCTTGAAAAAATTCTGCTGATCAACCATTCAAAAACTTACTACACATTTAGCTCACACTACTAAAAATGCATGTATTGATTAAACACATTTATGTCTAAAATCATTATGGATGTCACGAGTAATGATACTTTAATAACTAAAAGAATGAAATTAGGGTTCTTATAGAAAAGAATGTATATGGGATACTTTTAATCCTATTATCTTATAAGGCACAGGAACAAAATAGCTACTGACTTTCAGTGCTAGGAAGAATTCTGTCTTCAGAAACAGTGAAATTTACTATTAAGTAGGAAATATTGAGCTCAGTAGTCAGCTATATAAGTAAATCCACTTTGGATGATGTTTGTTTTTGATTCATGAGACAGGATCTCATTATTTAATTGTCCTTGAAGTATAGATCCTCTTCTCTCTGCCTCCTGAATGCTGGAATTTCAGACATATACCTCCACAGATGCTCAGGTGTGTTTGTTTTAATATTTGCTACGGATGTGAGAGGGGAAATGAGGTTTTGAATTAATGATTTAGAAGGTAAATCTCTAAGAGGTTGGTAAGAATAATTCATTTTCCCTGGTTATTCTTTCAAATATAACATAGCCAAATGAGAATTTAGTCATATATTGTTTGAGATGATGGTATTGTCATTTTTCACCAATTAAGAGATCCAAACAGCCATTATTTGGTTTTAAAGAACTACATTAAGCATAGCATCTTCAATCTGACATGAAGCGAATTCTCATCTGACTTCTTGTTTCAGAAAGAAACCAGGTTCAGAGTTCAGAGCCTGACACAGGCTACACAGGAGCATAATACAGACACCAAACCCACAAGCTTACGCTTCTCAAGAGATCTGTCCCCATGCCATGGCCTCTTCTTTCTGGCTGAGGTGATTATAACCAAATACATGCATATATATACATATATACACACATACATATATGTGTGTGTCCATATGCACAGATATATGTATATGTGTATTCATATATGCACGTTATGTATGTTACACATATACACATATATGTGTATATGCATATACACACACATATATATGTATGCAACACAGTAATTACCACAATGAAACATCTCATTTATTGAGCCATCTCAGTTTGAATCTAATGTTTTTTGAGTTCATTCCCTGGCTTAACTCATTAAACCCTTCCAGCATCTGAAAGATGTGGGTCTATATCACCACCACTTTACCTGAGGAGCCTAGGTACAACTGAGTAACAGCCCAAGATCTGCTACCCAGTGAGTGGCCTGGCCACTCACAAACTTTACTGAAAACATACACCAAATCTCTACTTAACCCACTGTTAATGAATGCTGGTGTAGGTCACAATGTGTTTGTAGGAGATCTCCTGAGGGAATTTGAGATCAAGCAAATTTCTCTTCAGAGAGCAAGGAATTTCAGGGGGTAGAAGGAACAGCCTAGGGGTGAAACTATTTTGTTTCATATTTTTAAATATCTATTGGAGATTAGTTTTGGAAAAAAGAATAATGAAATCTTCACCTTATCACCTGTAAAATACATGTCAGTCCAGCAAACTTGCACCACTAATTTCAACCTTGGAAGAGAAAAAAGGCAAAGAAATTTGGGAGTATCTATGAAGTTAGGAAAATTTAAAAACAAAAAGTAACCTGGCAGAGAATGCACGTAATCCTCTGAAAGGGGTGGGGTGGGTGGAGGGTGAGGGGGTATAGACTGTGAGGCGGCGGGGTCCAGCCCCCAGGTCCACTAGCACCCTGAAGCAATGCTCCCAGAGCCAAGTCCTCAGCAACCACCTCATCTGGGCAAGCGGATCCTCATGGCCTGGTCTTTAGGCCACAGTTCTGGGGCCACTACTAAAAGGGACTAACAAGGCAAAGCGGCAGTGGCAGGATTGACAAACTTCTGATCTTGCCCAGAGGGGGACACACCTCCATCTTCAGCCTGCGCTACCAAGTCTCGGCCTACAGCTGAAAAAACTCTTGGGCTCTGGGTCAAAGCAGAAGGCTGTGGTAGCCTGGGGTCTCTGTCCAGACGTGGCAAATTTGCAAGCTGTTAAACACAAACACCTCCCACTCCACCCCCACCCCCACCCCCCAATCAGCAAAGCAGCCGCCCTGCCTGCTTAGCTAGCAGAGATTTGGTGCGGACAGCCTGGAGTGTGAAGGTTCAAAACTTGCCACGTATCCCCAGGACCTGCTCCTCGGCGGGCCAAGTTGGAAGTGGATAAGTGGCTGCAGCGCCCCCCCCCCCCATGTCTCCCCTTCCTCCTCTCACCTGTCCCCTCGGCTCTTGGCTCACAAACACACCGAGATCAGTTCCCAGGTAGTGCCTTGCACACCTGGCTTAGCTCCCTACTCCTTGAGTCTCACTTTGGTGCCAGGGTTGTACCACAGACATCCCAACCTCCACTATGACCAAGGGAAACCGAGGCGGGATTCCTTGGGGGCTGAATCCCCCGAGGGCGACCACACAGAGGCAGGAAGGGCTCGATGCTGGACCCTAGGCCTCCTTCCCGCAGTTCCTACAGTGAAATGGACAGTACTGGAGGCGTTCCAGATTACCTATCCGCGACCACCTGTAGGTCAGTGGCCACCACGCCCAGCCTTGAACTCTTTCCAGTTTGGGTAACATTCCAAAACCTCTTGCGATTGAAGGAGAAAGCAGAAAGGAGGTTCCGCGCCCCGCTGCTCCCGAGCGAGCGCGCAGACTCTGGCCAGCCAGCCAGCTCAGCGCGCGTTGTGCCTGAGCGCGCCCTGGGGAAGGAGCGTCGCCGGGCCCCGACCTAAGGAAGCATTTCAGAATAGAAACCACAGCCGCCTGTTTCTAAAGGACCAGAGGGGACTTGGAGGGACCGCGAAGAATCATACAATGAGCTCCTAAAAGAAATCGGGGGAGGGGTTGTAAACAAACAAATAAATAAAAAGTACAAGCAGGGAAACTTGGGGTATCCGAGCTAGCTCGGCGGCGGCGGCGCGCAGCTGCACAGCGTCCGGAGACGCGTGCGCACCAGCTGCAGGCGCGCTGCACGGGGGTTCACCAGTTCTTTAGGTCTTGGGCCCCTTCGGCTAGTGGAGCGCTGGTAATGCGCCCCTGGTCTCCTGCCCCATGCTAGTATGAGGGAGCGAGGAAGGAAGCCCCTCGTGGTTTGACACCTGTCATACCCAGGCACCGAGAAGCCATCCGTCCAGATGGCCACTCCCTTGCTCAGCCAGACTGAGCCAGAACCCTCTAGATGCGCCCCCTCCTCCACCGCCACGGGGCGATCCTCAAGGGGCGGCGTGGCAAGGGCCCCCGTGCGCAGGGAGCTCCCTCCCTGGGGTCGCATGGCCCTGGAGAGCACTGGGTTATAGTTAGGGTCGGGGATGGGGGGGGGCACTGGGGCCCGCGCGCGCTCACCTCGTTCACTGGCCTGGATGTAGCGCACGATGTCGTCCAGGTCCAAGTCTTTGGTCTCGTCGAAGTTGTAGGCAGACGTGTGCAGGCCCTCCTCTTGGAAGACCTCGTGGACCCCCTCGAGGGTGAAGTAGCAGTTGCGCTCCAGTTTGTCGTCGCTGTAGAGCAGCGCCGCGCGGCTCCAGTGGTGGTGGCGGAACAGGGCGAGCATCATCTCGCCCATCTTGGCGTAGGCCGGCGCCACGCGCGTGAGGTGCGAGTACTCCGCGTCCTTGTGTTGGAAGCCGGCGGCCAGGGCCCCCGCAGACAGCATGGGCAAGTCCCAGTGAGACGCCAGCCGGGCGACCGGCGCCGCCGCGTACTCGCACACCGGCCCCAGGATCAGGTCCGGCTTGGTGCCCCGCGCCGCCGCCACGCGGTCCACCAGGCTGAAGAGCGCGCGGTTGCCGCAGTCCGAGTCCTCGTAGGTCACCTGGAAGCGAGTGCCCGGCGGCAGAAGCCGCCTCCCGGTGGTGGTGCCGTTGCCCTCCACGCTGCGCAGCGCGTACTCGATGGCGGGCCGCACCCGGGCCAGTGAGAACAAGTACGAGTCGTCCCGGGGCAGGAGCACCAGCACGTCGATCTTCTGCGGCAGCAGCGCCTCTCTCTCCCGGCGCCCGCCGCCCGGGCCGGGGCCCCCGCCGCCGCCGTCGCCGCCGCCCGTGCCGCCGGCCAGCAACGCCCAGCCCAGCAGCACGCACGCGGAGAGAGTGAGCACCGGCGTGGACCACATCATCGAGCTGCGAGAAGGCGCTCGCCCCGGGCCCCCACCCACCCTTCCTTTTTCCTCCCCACTCCTCTTCTTCGCCGAGGTCCCTGCCTGCGCCCCCTTGGGCGCTCCGAGAGCAGAGAATAGACCCCCTCTCAGAACGCGCTGACAGATAGAGAGGAACAGACCTTCTCTGCAGTGTCACTGGTTTAAAATAAAACTACATAGAAAAAGTTCGCCTAGTGTAAACCTGTGCGACGGTAACACACACACACACACATATACACTTATTATAAATATATAGTCACCCTCCCTTTATACATATGCTAGTTGGCTTAGAGGTGGCTTCTTATTTTGGGCGTTGCTAAGGTTGCTTTTGAAAGCGCATTTGTAAAAAAAAATAATAATAAAAATAAAAAAAAGAAGAAAGAAAAAGGAGGAAAAAAAAGTTAGACTTGTCCAAGTGCTTGTATTTGACGGTGCATCGTCAGCCCCTTCGCGTTTGATCTCATTGATTTCGTGCCGGTGCCTGGATCCATAGCCCGACTTTAAATAGCGTGGCAGCGGCCGAGCGCGTTACCACACATGGCGCGCCGAGGCTGGGCTTGTATTTCCAGCGGGTGGGGTGGGGTGGGGTGGGGTGGGGGGCTGGGCTGGGGGAGCCTCTCATTAACATTCTGACATCAGGGCTCCTCCCCGCACCCCTTCCCCGCCCGCCGCTCCCCGGGCCCCTCACCCCCCCTCCCCACTCTCCGCAGGCACTCTGCCGGTTCTAAGAGCCTCGGCCGCCCACGTCTGCACGGGTGGGACCCCCCTTCCCCACCCTCCACCCCACCCCCGCCCAGGGCCGCGCGCCCCTCCGATCCCCGCCTCTCCCCGGCCACCGGCTCTCCAGCGCTGAGCTTTCAAGAGGAAATGTTTTCACACACGCACACACACACACACACACACACACACACACACACACACACACACACACACACACACGGAAACCGGGAGTGGGGCGGATGGTAGTTTCAGGGCAAACCCTCGGAGGTTCGGATTGCTCTTACCTTTTTTTCTTCCTCCGGCCAGGTTTCTTCCCAGTCCCGCACCTGATCTTCCAGGTCCCCCGCAACCAGGTCCGGGAGCAGGACCCAGGTCCCAATGCCGGAGACTCATTTTCGGAGCTGGCATGCCCAGCTGTCTGGAGCGTTACCTGCACCCTTCTTCCTCGCCCCCCATTCTCTGTAGGCGCCCCCCACCATGGGGGGGGGGGGGTCAGAGCGGGGACTGATCCCGCATCAGCCAGAGTCGCTGCGCAGCGATGGCGGCGCTGCCAGGTCCCCGCGCACAGACCCTCTCTGGGTTCCCTGAGATCAGGAAAGCGAAACTTGTTGCTCCCAAACGGGGAGGAAATGGGTTCAGGTTCTGGAAGTGTCACTAAGTTTGAAAATCATTCTTAAGATGTTCTGGGGGGTGGAGGTTGTTTGTTAGCCCAGGGCTGACTATCTTCTCCAGGCTCCCCCCCCCCAACCCCCCGGAGTTCCCGGAGCGGGGACGCACGCTTCCCGGCTCCCCAAGGCCTGGCCACACATCCGCTTCTCCTGCTCTCTGCTGCAGGGAGCATGCCTTGCCCACCCAGCGCCCCTACTGCTCGGAGCCACCACCGCGATGGAGACGCAGACGGCGTGGAACAGGTTTGGAGGTGACCGAGACCAGGGGCGCATCGCCGGAGTCCGCGGCGCAGCGTTGGGCAGGTCAGAAACCAACTGGACCCTCTATGCATAGTTACCTCCCCAAAGTCATCTGTCACGTGCACACGCTACAGTGCCCGAGAGAACTCGGATACTTAAGTCCCACAAATTACAATAAATTGAAAAATGGTTTGAAATACTCGTCCGTTTGACTTGGGCTTCCGTGGCTACAAAAGTTCGATTTGTCTTCAACCTACCGCCCTCTGTCGGCCGAAACTTGCACCGACACTTCACCCCGGTGGCCCAAGGTCGGTTTCTTCCTCCTTTCTCCTTACCCTATTCCCAGCTTTAACTCTCAGGCCCCAGAGGCCTTTGCTCTCGTTTTTTGTTTTGACTGTGAAATAGGCAAACTGAAGTTTCCGAGAATGTACCGACTCCAGGCACCGGCCCAGGCCTTAACAGCTCTCTGCGATCCCTCTTTCTGGCACCTAAATGCAATTATGGGTAACGATTTATGCTCTGGGGTCATTTAGATGTAAGATTATGCACTGTGATCTCTAAATCCTCACTGTAAATAAGAGCTTCTAACTCCTGTGAGAACGTTCATTTATTTAATTAGAGCTGCTAAGTAACCCCAACCCCAAGAGTCATCTACATTAAATTTAATTCTACACCCGTAATCCACACACTGCTGAGATTTAGCGCTTCATAGCAATTAAATCCTTCCTGAACTCCTAGGAGGGCAGAGGTTTGTTTACAGGACCATAGTTATTTAAGAAAAAAAAAAAAAGACAACGGGACAACAGCTAAATCCCGAATTCCAAGAGTCTTAGTGGACTTCACCCCGTTGCCAGGAGACAAGACCTAGGTTTCCTATTACTCTCTGGTATGCCCAGTGTCTGGCCAATGGCGATATGATTCTGCAGTGTGTGATGTGGGCTTACCATGGGAGTCTGGGGTTTCAGTGGCACCGGGTATGAAGGCCTCTCCCATCCCACGCGCTGTGCTGCCCAGTCTCACCCGAAGGTCAACAGCAGGGCAGGGTGATTACATTATGGCGAGTGCCCCTGGCCTCCCCTTGGGCTTTGGGTAGGAGCTTTCAACTTCTAACTTGCTGATACAGAACACAAGGCCAAGTCGTGGAGGCAAAGAACCCCCAAAATGGAGAAAAGAAAGTTAAAAGCCAGGTATTCCTGCCCTTTGCCATGACAGAACACACCTTAGAAATTAATGAACAGATATATCATAGGATTATAGAAAGACCGACCAAGTCATATGAGTGTATGTCACTGAATGTCAGGAACGTGTGTACTTTGCATCAAATGAGATTATTTTGCAGTCTGCAAAAAGTTGGTCTAAATACCATTAAGTAAAAAAAAAAAAATCATTTAAAAGTCCCCCCACCTAACATGTCTCCGTCTTTAGTAAAATTATTGCGGCCAAAAGAATTTACAAGACGCATTTTAAATGCCTCTTTGTCATCTGAGAATATTTTAAGTTGGGAGTGGATTAAAAATAAACCATGTATCACCTATTACACCATATAAAAGAAGGTTAAGGATAAAAACTGGCTCATACTTTAAATAATAACATTCGCTATATCAAAATTGTAACTTACAGAAGGAGGTAACACCAGCACTGTGGAAACTGAGGCAGGAGGTTCACAAATAAAGGCCTGCTTGGGCTACAGTCTCTAAGAGTCAGACATTGTTTTTATCTTCCATATAGGTAAAGTTTTAGGCTATATACTATAGTAAAGCTGAAAATAGCATTTTATAATGGAATTTTATAAGACTTCACTCATAAAAATTAAGCAAACTCATCTATTGGACTCAGTTTTAAAATATTGATTCTTTCAATCTGGTAAAACACTGCCATGGGAAAAAAAGCAATAGGTTTGTTTTTTTGTTTGTTTGGAGTTTATTTATTTATTTATTTATTTTTTAATTTAATTTTATTTTATTTGAGAACATACTGTACAGAGGGGTTACAATTACATGGGCAGGATAATGCATACATTTCTTACCAAGCATTGCAGCCTCCTCCTTTGTTTACCCTTCACCAATTGTTTGGGGGTTTTTTTTGCATTCAAAGGGACATCAACTTTAGGACAATGTTTCTGGCTTCAATTGTTGAATAAACACAAAGGAAAGTTATGAGGATATATGACAAAGTAAAATTAGACATTTGAGAACCTATAGATGATGTTACTAATAAAGGTGATATTGCAGAAATTAATAGGCATTACAGGATGTAAAAGTGTTTTCATCAAGATCCCCACACCATTGTTTGTTTTAACTTTAAGCTACTAAAATGAGTGGGCAAGTTTTCTATAAACTATTCAACTATTTTATTTCTAGCTCTTTAAAGTAAAATTGATGCCCAGATGTTTTTCTATTAGTTAGGAAAGCCAGACCATATGGGGTGTCTACCATGATTCTTTGAAATGTAGTGGAAATATTGTGGAAAGAATTTTTGCCCACTATTCTTAAGTCTCTATAACCCTTCTGCAGTATCTTGGCTGCCACTTGAAAGTAAGCACCCATCTAGATTTTTCAAAGGGACTCTTCTCCCTAGTTTTGCCATCCCAGAAACAGCACTAAAGAAAGCCCCAGTGAAGCCTGTAACCCATAAGAAAATACCTTCTGGAGAGAAATGTTGAAAACACACTTCCCCCTAGAGGCAGAAAAGATGAAAGGACATGCCACACAATTCAAAAGCATTCCTGTAATTTAATGCCTGTGAAGATTTTCATTTTTAACATTGAGATGATGTTTTAGAAGACATCATTCAAAAAGTTGGAGAAAAATCAGGGGACAGCAAGAAATTAAATTAAAAGTTTGCCTCTAGGTTTTAGCTTTCCTTGTAGAGACTATTATTTGACCCTATTCTTCATTATATAAGCCTATGTGTGTGTGTGTGTGTGTGTGTGTGTGTGTTTTTACCAGCACTACAAATAATAGTTATTGTGCATTTTTAAATTTAAATTTATGATTCAATTTCATTAGAAAGTATGAAAAGGCTTCTTTTGAAAACGGTTTCTCTGTTATTACCCTTTCAGGTTTCCATCAACTCCAAACTTCTTTTCCTCATTTCTTTGAAAATGTTCTGAGACAAAGGGACATGACAAAGATTTCTGGAAAATGTATTGCTGGTCTATGACTTAGCTTGAGTGGTGGAATTAGAAATCCAAACCCAAATCCAAACTCCATGGTTTCCCTCATTTGTAATAATTAGTATATGCTTCGGATACTCCTAGCAGAGGCTCACACATAATGATCACATAAAATGATGCTAATTGAAATGAAAAACATCAAAACAACATGGTACCATTAACTCATAGATAAG